CAAATCCAGTGGGATAGCTCTGTTCTTCTCTATCTGCTTTTCATTCATTCTTCCCAGGTGGAAGTGTCAGTCCCAGTGGATCATACAAAGGATGCATTGACCCAAAGTATTGTAGACCTCTGGCCTTCACCTTGACCACAGCTGCTGGACGTCACATCCAAAGCAATATGGCCTGTTGCTCAACAAATATGTGCAATGAAGGGTTAAGTCTAAGTGGTGGGTATTTCCTGGGCTTGGGAACTCTTCCTTTAAAAAAAGAATTATTTTGTTTAAAAGAGGAAACTATAACGTAAGAATTCTATTCTATTCTGGAGGGGTTCTGGGTGTATTCCAGCATACCTCTGGAACACCTCGAGCAATTTCAACCAAACTTGGTACACAGATGACTTACTATCTGGAAAAAAATACTGTGGGGGTAAGACACCCCTAGCTCCCTAGGGTGTGTGTGTGTGTGTGTGTGTTTCAGCATAATTTTGGAATGCCTGGGCTGCTGAAATGAAAAGGAATGAATTATATCTATAGTGTCAAATCACAGTACTTTTGACGGTGACAGTGTGCATTTTGGATTCAAGTTCTGTTAAGATACAGCCTGTTGTGCCTTAAAATGGCTTCTACTGTACAGCACAATGGAGTTGCCATGGTAATGGCTTCATAGTACTCCATAAGGGGGCTCCCTTTGGTAAGGCAGATTGGGATAAATAAATACCCGGGCAACGCTGGGTTATCAGCTAGTCCTATTTAAAAGTGTAAGGGAAAAATATATTTTTGAAGCCAATAGTTGACTTAGTGGTACAGGATGCTTATCCCTCACGGTATCTAAGACAATGGTGGAATCCAAATTTTTTTACTACCAGTTCTGTGTGCGTGACTTGATGGGTGTGGTGTGGTGTGGCTTGGTGGGCGTGGCTTGGTGGGCTTGGCAGGGGAAGGATACTGCAAAATCTCCATTCCCACCCCACTCTGGGGCCAGCCAGAGGTGGTATTTGCCGGTTCTCCGAACTACTCCAAATTTCCGCTACCAGTTCTCCAGAACCTGTCAGAACCTGCTGGATTTCACTCTTGCTGTACCCCCAACAGATCCCTTGATATTCTTTGTCACTTGGATGCTAAGATGAAATCTATCTTGCTTTACAGTTCCCCCAGTTGGTACTTTGGGAAACGGGGTGTCTTGCCCAGCCTGTGAAAGCTACAATCAGAAGGAGTGTGAAATCAAAAGTCACATTGCCTGCAACGGAACTCAGGAGAAATGCATTACTCTCGCAGGAGAATCTATTGGTATTTCTTCAATTATTTCATCACCCATCCACCCCTTCCCCCAATACACTGGCTAGAATCACACCATGATCCTTAAAGCATGGCTGGCTCAGGAATTCTGGGAGTTAAGGTCCACCATGCAATCCTACAATGCATTTTCTGACAGTGACAACAATCAATCAATGGAACAGAAGTTGCCTACGGAGGTTGTGGGAGCTTCATCCCTGGAGGCTTTCAAGAAGAGACTGGACTGCCATCTGTCAGAAATGGTGTAGGGTTGCCTGCTTGGGGGTTGGACTAGATGAACTATAAAGTCCCTTCCAACTCTGTTAATCTGTAAAAGGGCCATAGTTCCCCACCCTTGTTGTAGGGTAAAATGAAAGAACCTACTTAGGAAGTTCAGTGTTGTTTGATTTGCACATGCAAGACAATACTCCGGAGTTGAACTTGCATGCGTGAACCAGCTCCGATTCCACAATTCCCCATGCAAAAGTGATTCTGGATCGCGACGCCTTGCGCACGGTCACTCATGCTCTTGTCACCTCCCGACTGGACTACTGTAATGCTCTCTACATGGGGCTCCCCTTGAAAAGCACCCGGAGGCTCCAGCTGGTCTAGAATGCAGCCGCACGGGTGGTTATGGGTGCAACTCGTTGTGCCCATGTGACACCCCTCCTGCGCCAGCTGCACTGGCTCCCAGTGGTCTTCCGGGTGCGATTCAAGGTGTTGGTCACCACCTTTAAAGCGCTCCATGGCATTGGACCAGGGTACCTTCGAGACCGTCTTCTGCCACCAGTAGCCTCCCACAGGCCAGTCTGCTCCCACAGAGAGGGTCTCCTCAGGGTGCCATCGGCCAAATTATGTCGACTGGCGACACCCAGGGGGAGGGCCTTCTCTGTGGGAGCCCCTGCCCTGTGGAATGAACTGCCCCCAGAAATGCGTAAGATCTCCGACCTCCGTGTATTTCGCTGTGCCCTCAAAACCTTGTTGTTCCGCCAGGCCGGGCTATCAATGTAAAGATTTTAATTGGTTTTAAATGTGGGATTTTAAATTTGGGGGTTTTATAATTGAGCCAATTATTTAATAATTTTAATTATTTTTAAATTTTGTCTGTCTTTGTGCTTTTAATCAGGCTGTACACCGCCCTGAGTCCTTCGGGAGAAGGGCGGTATAGAAATAAAATTATTATTATTATTATTATTATTATTATTATTATTATTATTATTATTCCCATGTTTGCACAAATTAGCTCTGCTTATTTTTCTCGTTGCAGAAAAATCTACAAATCAATCCTTTGCCATCAAGGGCTGTGCAACCCCGAATGCCTGCAGCTTGCAACAGAATGACCTGGTACCATTTGGGGGGAAGATATATAAACTGAGTGTGAAAGCAGCTTGCACCGACAGGGGTGTGTGGGGTGTGATTTCTTCCTCAGCCGTCATTTTTTCATCCCTTGCTGGAGTCCTCTTCGTCCAGAACCTCTCGTGAAGTCATCTGGTTCCTCCTCTGTGCTTGATAAAAAGGCCAACGTCCAGAATTGCAAATAAAATTTTCAGGTTTTTTTCATCCATGAGGTCTACTAGTCTTTCAAACAAAGTGGGAGAAGGAATGAAGGCATTTATTTAAACAATAATACTTGGTCTCTATAATTCTCCAGTCTTTCTGACACCACATTCTCTCTTTTATTCTCTTTTTCTTACAAATACATTTCCTAATTTCCCCTATCCTTCGTTGGATTAGTAGAGTGTCCTCTTGATTATTCTATAAAACAATATTCTATAAAACTTTGGGGAAAATACACAGGATTTCTGGCATGGATCTCAAATCATCTTAATAAATTATTCTCCAGTCCTCAAGGACTACCAGTAAATAATTGGAGAATAATCAATCACTTAGCAACATAAAGGTTATGAGGAATCTACCTTGGATAAAACCTTTAGAAATATTTTCTAGGTGAGATTGGTAGCATAGAAATCAAATAAGGAAATAAGTATTTTTAAATTGAGGTCTCCTCTTCAAAACTTACTGGATGGGTTTCCCTAACATGCCACGCTAGATATGGGGTGGGATTAATATGTTATACAACCACCAAAACCTAATGTGATCAGGGGAAACTTTTAATCCTGGGATAATTTCAGCCAGTTGTGTCATATGAGCACTAAACTACAGTCCAGAATGGAGCAATTTCCAATGTTACACAGTAATTTTCCAAGAAGGAAGAAACTTAGAAAATCATGTGGAACATAGTTTGAGGAGGCTACTAAGATCCTTACTATCTCTCTTACGATAATACTTTCAGAGAAGACAGAATTAAATTGGATGGAAAGAATAGAATAGAATAGAATAGAATAGAATAGAATGGAATGGAATGGAATGGAATGGAATGGAATGGAATGGAATGGAATGGAGTGGAGTGGAGTGGAGTGGAGTGGAATGGAATGGAATGGAATAGAATAGAATAGAATAGAATAGAATAGAATAGAATAGAATAGAATAGAATAGAATAGAATAGAATAGAATAGAATAGAATAGAATGGAATGGAGTGGAGTGGAGTGGAGTGGAGGAGTGGAGTGGAGTGGAGTGGAGTGGAATGGAATGGAATGGAATGGAATGGAATAGAATAGAATAGAATAGAATAGAATAGAATAGAATAGAATAGAATAGAATAGAATAGAATAAGAATTCTTTATTGGCCAAGTGTGATTGGACACACAAGGAAGTTGGCATAACTTTGGAGACAAACAACGAACAAATAATATAATCATAAGATACCGATAGGAGAAGATAGTAGAAAAGATTAGAAGGATAATAGTAATACAGGTATACTACATTGGTAAATATCCTTAGACATAAGACAGTACTGTAGGTATTCAACAGAGTAATGAATTAGGTATTCAACAGAGTAATGATATGAGGGGAAAAAACTGTCTTTGTGTCTAGTTGTTTTGGCATGCAATGCCCTATAGAAGCATTCTGAGAGGAGGGGTTGAAACAGTTTATGTCCAATATGTGAACTATTAGTCTAAACTAAGATAAATTCTCAGTCATCCCGTAATCAAAAAGCAATCATTGCACTTTCTGGAAATTACCTAATGACGAAATATGCCAGGAATACACGAGAGTTCCTGAATCAAAAACTACATTTGAGGAAGGATCTGTGACACCCATCATTTCCTCTTCGGGCCTGAGGTTCATCCGTTGATAATGCTCAAATCTGCTCACTTCTCAGTTTTTGAGCATTTTGACTTTGACCTCATATAAAGCCTCCCAAGATAGGTGGATTTCTAAAGGATTTAATGGTGGGCTTTCATCCACATCTTCCCCTTTCAAAGGGCAAATGTTATCTCATAACTCCTCCCAAATGACAGCTTACCTACACAAATCACTACAGTTAGTTCCTTATTGGCATGGGTGCACCAGAGTCAAGTTGGTTATGGAATGAGGTGGGATGGCTGTTTTGGGTGGCAGGAAGGAAACCTGAGGCTCTGGGACCAATCAGCTGCTCATACTGTCAAGTTGTCTAGGTTTAAGGCTGGGGATCTGGAGTCAAAGATGAGTGATGCAGGAATCCCAAGTTGGTGTCAGACGGGTACAACTTGATTCTGGAACTTGCTTTATGACCACAGAAATAACAGTCAACGAAGAGTGGACACAGAACTCTGACCTACCCTGTGGTTGGTGGAACAAGCCACTGCTGTCATAATTGTGTTAGCCAATAATATTTCCCCCCACTTCTAATAGAGTGTGTTATTTACCTTAACCTAAGAAAGACAGTGATAAGAAGAATTAAGAGAAATATCTTTCAGCACCGAAATGTAAACGAGCTCCTAGAGAACATTTAACTGGTGGCATGCAATGGGTATATAACTTTGGATCAGTAATGGCTTGCATGGTTCCATATCTGATGCCCAAATTATTGAAAGAAGTTCATGTAACTGACATCCTTGACCAGAGTGTGCTGGCTTAGGAGTAAATCCCAAAGAATCCAATAGGTCTGACTTTCAGGTAAGCAGGGTTAAATCCTAAACATTGTGAATAGTGGTTGTGTCACTCACCTCCTAATAATAAGGGACATAAATAAAGTTTCTCCTTGCACATATGTGCTAGTTGTTCCTGAATCTAAGGAATGGTGCTTATCTCCGTTTCAAAGCCGAAGAGCCAGCGCTGCCCGAAGACGTCTCCATGGTCATGTGGCTGGCATGACTAAATGCCAAAGGCGCACGGAACGCTGTTACCTTCCCACCAAAGGTGGTCCCTATTTTTCTACTTGCATTTTTTACGTGCTTTCGAACTGCTAGGTTGGCAGAAGCTGGGACAAGGAACAGGAGCTCACCCCATTACGCAGCACTAGGGATTCGAACTGCTGAACTGCTGACCTTTTGATTGAAAAACTCAGTGTCTTAGCCACTGAGCCACCGTGTCTCTAATAGGGGACATACCTGGTTGATAAGACTATGGGAAAGACGTATCTTAAATCTGTAGGCTAGGGGTGTCAAACTCAAGGCGTGCAGGCTGGATCCAGTCCATGCGGTGCTTAGATCTCGCCTGTGGGGCCGCCCTGGAAACAGCAAAGGACCGGCCCACGGTGCTTCTGCCAGCAAAAACGGAGTTCGGGAGGGCCCTGCTTGGGCCCCGTTTTTGCTGGCAGAGGGCTAGCAAAACAAACTGAAAGCAAACCAAACCAAAAGGAGAAATGTTTCCCCTTTTGCATTTGAGCATCCAAGAAGGGACAGGAAAGGAGAAAGGGAAAGAGGAAAGACAAAGAAAAAGATGGGAAGATGGGAAGAGAGCAAGGAAGGAAAAAGAAGGAAGGAGGGGAAAGAAGAAGAAAGGAGAAGGAAGAGGGAAGGAAAAAAAGATGGGAAGATGGGAAGAGAGCAAGGAAGGAAAAAGAAGGAAGGAGGGGAAGGAAGAAGAAAGGAGAAGGAAGAGGGAAGGAAAAAGAAGAAAAGGAAGGAAGGAAGGAAGGAAGGAAGGAAGGAAGGAAGGAAGGAAGGAAGGAAGGAAGGGAAGTCCCACCTTAGCACTTGGCCACCAGCAGACGGCAAGGCTCCTCTAGAGCAAACTTTGACAACTTTAAGACTTGTGGACTTCAACTTCCAGAACTCTGGGACTTGAAGTCCACAAGTCTTAAAGTTGCCAAGGTTGGAGACCCCTGCTCTGGAGGACAAGAGTTTGGTGCTCTCCCTGGTCTTGCCTTCCTCTGTTGGAGACAATGGATCCCCCCCACAGGTGCCCCCGACACCAGTGATATTGAGTTGGCCTTGCCCACCCCGGCCACGCCCTCCCAGCTCCCCTGAGGTCAAACTCAACCCTCATGCGGTCCTCAATGAAATCGAGTTTGATGCTCCCGTTGTAGGCCATGTAGGGCTTGATGGTGGCAACCAAAACCTTGAGTTTCACTGGAAACAAGCTTGCAATCTACACAGCTTCCCCAGCAGCAGTGCGACATGGCCACAACCTCACAACTGCCCCACGAGATATGGGCAACTGCATTTTACACTCACTGAAGTTTCCAAATGATCTCCAAGCGCTCTTCTACGCAAAGCAAAGTTTGAGCGGTCCATGCAAGAGATGACAAGTGCATGAGTGAATCTTCTTTAGAATATCCTTCAGTATGATAATGGTCCGTAAGTTCAGGTTGAGTTTTAGCAAGTGATGGGTTTTACAAGTGGGGCTTTGAATCTGCCTTTTCCCTTGATATCCTTTCCAACCCAGGAAGTTTCCTCTGCTAGAAGATTCCAGATGTTGATGCAGTTGCCACCTCAACTCCAGCCTTCCATTCTCTCCGGTTCTGAAGAGAATGGATATATTGCTGATTTACTACCTCTTTGATTTTCTGCTGGCTATTGGTAAGTTACCAGGGATTGATTCATAGTACAGACATAGTACATACTACAGACGTACATAGTACAGATGTACATAGTACATAGTACTCCAGACGTGGAGCACGTCTTAAGCAGTATCTCTTTCTCTTAAGTTATATCAGTGGTGGGTTTCAAATTTTTTTTACTACCGGTTCTGTGGGCGTGGCTTGGTGGGCATGGCAGAGGAAGGATACTGTGAAAACTCCATTCCCACCGCACTCCAAGGGAAGTATACTGTAAAATCTCCATTCCCTCCCCAATCCAGGGGAAGGTTACTGCAAAATTTCCATTTCATCCCAATCAGCTGGGACTTGGGAGGCAGAAAATAGATGGGGGCGGGGCCAGTCAGAATTTTTATTACCAGTTCTCCGAGCTACTCAAAATTTCCGCTACCAGTTCTCCAGAACTGGTCAGAGCCTGCTGAAACCCATCTGAGTTATATGTTATGAAGACATATCTCTAGTTACCACAAGATGGAAAGATTGTGTGGTAGAGAAGCGGGATGACGTTTTTAAACACTGTTTAGGGGCATCATGTGCTTATTTTATATCACAGCATACTGTTTTGTCATCTAGATCAGGGGTCTCCAACCTTGGCTGCGGAATTCTGGGAGTTGAAGTCCGCCAGGCTTAAAGTTGCCAAGGTTGGAGACCCCTGATCTAATTCTTTGGTGTCTAGTTTGATGAGTTGTGGGTCTCCAATATCTTCAGCATTTTCCCTCACTTTGCCACCTTGGGTTCTTACAATTGGAAGCATTGAGGGCTGTGTACAAATCAGAATATTTATCGTTAACCGTACAGACGCTGTCCTATAAAAACCTAACACCAGAAGGCCCTCAAAGTTACAAGACAGGGTATCTCTTCTCCTTCTTCTCCAACACATTTCTGGATTGTTTTAGGGCGAGGTAGAATGTTCACTTTCAAGAATATATTTCCACCCACCCCCCAATTCTATACCATGCAAAGAGCAAAGGGAGGAAGCTTTCTTTTCGCTTTTTGCTCCTGATGAAACTGCCATTTCATGTGATTTATGATCAAGAAGCTGTCAGGTGACATTTCTGCTGTCCAGCAAGAACAAGGAGGACAGTTGCCCATTGCTTTAATGATCTTCTCTTCCAGGGTTTGGCTTACAGTGTGAACGATGCAGCAGCAAAACCAGTTCCTGTACTGGAGCCCCATATAATTGTCCAAAATCTGAAAAGGCCTGCCTGATCCTTACCATAGAGAACATTATTGGTGGGTGTCTTTGCCTTTTGAGGGGGTGGAAAGGATTGGAATTCTTCCAGTCTAGCACCAGGGTTGCCAGGTTATTAAAAGGTTATGTTGGAGAAGAGAGGTGTCAGGTTTTCAGGCCATCTTCAAATAAATTGTGTCTCAAACGAAGTCTTTTTTGAAACAAACTTCCATTTTATTTAGCAACTTTTACACTGACTCCATGCAGCCAGCACTGACGTGCTGACCCCAAATCCCTCCTCTTCCTTCCCTCACTCCTCTGCATTCATTGGCCATCTTCCCAATCATTCACCCCTAATCTACTGCTCCAACTCAAAGAATTTCCCCCCTCCCATCCATCTCCTAGGGGACATTTATCTCCAGCTAAAATAAGTAGGTGAAAGGCAACTGTCCCGTTGCAGACACTTGAATTCTCCTTCTCATGTCAGCACTAGGATAAATGCATCTTGACGTGCTGACAAGAGGTGTATCTCTCTCTCTCTTTCTCTCTCTCATCTCTCTCTCTCTTTCTCTCATCTCTCTCTATATATCTATCCTCTTTATCTTTATCTCTATCTCTATCATCTCTATCTCTATCTTATCATCTCTATCTCTATCTTATCATCTCTATCTCTATCTCTATTTCTATCTATCTCTATCATCTTTACCTCTCTATCACTATCATCTCTATCTCTATCATCTCTATCTATTTCTATCATCTTTATCTCTACCCTCTCTTTCTCTCTCTCTCATCTCTCTCTCTATTTCTAGTTCGAGTCCTAGCACTGCATGGAAAGGGTGAGCTCCTGTCAGTCGTCTTGGCTCCTGTCCACCCAACAATTCGAAGGCAACTGAGAACTGTTGGACAGCCCTGGCCTCATCTCTGCCTCTGACGCAGAGCACTCATCAGAGACTCCAGGACTGGCCCATGTTCCTCCCCAACCTCCTCACTGTCCGAGTCTTCTGCCAGCTCCACTGGCTGCTGGGGGGGCCACAACACACATTCCTGTTTATATGGGTTGCCATCTTGACTTTTTTGATCCCTCCCCTATGGATTCCTCAGGGCCCTGATCTCCAAACATCTTCCTTCAGACATTACCTTCTCTAGCTCTGATGCTTGCCTTGTTGTTTTCCTCTTGCAACCCCAGAGAACAATCAATGGTTCTCCACCTTCAAAGGTTGCGTGCCAACCAAGAACTGTCCCACTCTTTCCACGAGTTTCACGTTTCCTTCAAAGCATGAGCGAAGGACGGCCAAGTGCTGCTACCGTGATTTCTGCAACAAAGGAGTTGTGAAATGTAAGCAAGCATTTTCGTTTTCAAAACTTCTGAATTCTTATTGATGGATGTTACTCCTTTTGCAAGATCTCTTGATTACATGAAATTTCAGGTTATTCAGCATTTATTTTTTTTACAAAAGTGGAAACCTGGGATGTGTAGGATTGTGTAATGGTAGCTGAAAACATTTTTGATTCCTGATATTGGGTCAATTCATTTAATAATAATAATATTAACTTTATTGTCATTGTACGTGTATACACAGTATACCCATACAACGAAATTCACTTACCACCCAAAGACCAGGTCCAATACACATAACAATCCCCAAACTCACTCCCACCCACCACAATTCCCCACCCCTAAACCACCCAAACATCCACACATATGATGTGTGGACTTCACCAGTGTGCTGGCTGAGGAATTCTGGGAGTTGAAGTCCATATATCTTAAAGTTGTTAAGGCTTTGAATCACACTGGCTTAGTGTGATGAGCAAGAACCAAGAGGCAACTGGGTTTTTAGTTTCCCATGGCTATTATGCGTTTGCATGTATCTGATTGTGGATCTGAATATGGTGAGATCTGGGAGGTGCAGATTAGTGGAAGTCTGATTTAATTCAGGGCTGCATGGTACAGCCCACTCGGATCCAATAATAAGCCTCCTTGAAGTTGTTGACATAACCATCTGAAAGTTAAATGGCACTTACCAACCTATGTGATGGCTTCTCCCAGTGGAAGATGCAAAGAAAACACGAAATGGACTGAAATGCCCAGGATGCTTTTCAATGAATCTGGAATGTCAAGCCACAGAGATGTTAAACTGCCATGACCAGGAGCACAAGTGTGTTTACATGAGTGTGACTGTGCAAAACGGTAAGTCCTTCAAGATACGAAGAAGTAGAAACAGGAGCCATTGGGTTCACATCTTCCATGAGCCCAAATATCTTGGGAACAGGTCCTTTGTAATATTTTTGTACCTTGAAAGGGAAAATATCCATACATTTATATTACAAGCCATGACCACAGAACCGGTAGTAAAAAAATTTCACCACTGCCCCCCCGCCCCCAGGCCTTGAGTTTGACACCCCTGTTCTACTGGCTTTCCTAGCTAGAGTAATCGATCCCTAGCTGACAAGGTGTATGCCTCTTATTTCACTGATCAAGAAACCTGAGGTTCTGAATTTAGGAAAAAGCAATACTCCACATGATGGGGACAAATCGCCAAGACAGGCTGCTAGAAAACATTTCCCCACATTTGGAAGCCGGGTATAATAACTACAAGGTGTAGAAAAGAATCCCGTGGGCGGTGGGGTGGGGTGGAAAACTTGCCGAGATTTTATCAGGAATTACCTGCAGATGTTCAAGGCACAGGTCTCTCTCCTTGACCGTAGAGAGCTCAGATACTTCAGAGGTGACATTTCCCCCTTAATTCCTGCAGATAATCAGATCTACGTCTATGCTAAACGTGGTTGTGGAACCAAGCAAGCCTGCAGGAATAAGGAACACACATTTGGCATCCCCGGATTGTATGCCGAAATTTGGAAGAATGTTACATGTTCTCATGCTGCCAAGTGATTGATTTAACGAGCGAAGGGGCTAGTCCCTTACATCTTCAGAAGCCGGGAAAGGAGAGAGCGAGTGTGTACAAGAGTTCTAATTATCTTGAACAATGAGCTCATTTTTCTTTTATGGCGGAATAAAATCTTGTTGTGCTTCTTTACGATGATGTTGCTGAATTATTCGAATGCTTCCTCCAGATGGTTTATATGCTGCCCTTTGGAACTCATCTCTGGTTACTTTTTTTGCAAAGTGGAAAACACATTTAGGGCAAAACGCTGCAAACTCCTGCAGGTTTTTTTTTTTTTTAAATAATTTTTATTAAACCGTTTGTCTTTAAAAACAACACAAAAAGCAATCACACATATATAAAAACAAAACCTGTCAAGACATAATGTATTGAACATTACATAACCTTAATGGTAATTTTACAGCATTTCGTATCGTCTTAGGTATTTTGCTTTTGTAGTTCTCTATTATATTATTTCTATTTACTACTCAATAGTAGAAGAATTGTATTACTCCAATCTATCTATCTATCTATCAATCTATCTATCTATCTATCTATCTATCTATCTATCTATCTATCTATCATCTATCTATCTATCTATCTATCTATCTATCTATCTATCTATCTATCTATCTATCTATCTATCAGTGGTGGGTTGCTCCTGGTTCGCACTGGTTCATAAGAACTGGTAGTAAAAATTTGTAGTAGTTCAGAGAACCAGTAATAACATTGGCTGGCCACGCCCCCGAACCGGTTCCCAGCCCGGTCGCTGCTTGCTTACCCTGCCCACCTCATCAGAGGCTTTTTTTTAAAAAACTTTTAAAAGCATTTTTTCTACAACCTCTTTGGCCGAAAAAATGCTTTTAAAAGTAAAAAAAAAAAGCCTCTGATGATCGCATGGCTCAGCCCGGATCGTCAGTGGCTTTTAAAAGCATTTTTTCTACAACCTCTTCAGCCGAAGAGGCTGTAGGGAAAAAAATGCCTTTAAAAGCCTCTGGCGATCCCAGCTGAGTTGCCTGATCATCAGAGTCTTTTAAAAGCATTTTTTTTTTTTGGCAACCTCTTCGGCTTTTCCACTGATTAATGGTTCTCACTGTCAGGAAATTTCTCCTTCGTCCTAGGTTGCTTTTCTCCTTGATTAGTTTCCACCCATTGCTTCTTGTCCTGCCCTCAGGTGCTTTGGAGAATAGCTTGACTCCCTCTTCTTTGGGGCAGCCTCTGAGATATTGGAAGACTGCTATCATCAGTGGTGGGTTGCCCCCTGGTTTGTACTGGTTCTATAGAACTGGTAGTAAAACCGGCGGGAGGCTCCACCCACCGACCCCGATGGCATCAAAACGCTTCTGCTCATGTGCAGAAGCTTCTGTGCTTGTGCAGAAGAGTGTGTGTGTGCGCGCGCAACCCTGCTGCAAACCAGTAGTAAAGATAAGTAGAACCCACCCCTGGCTATCATGTCTCCCCTAGTCCTTCCTTTCATTAAACTAGACATGCCCAGTTCCAGCAACCGTTCTTCATATGATTTAGCCTCCAGTCCTCTAAGCATCTTTGTTGCTCTTCTCTGCACTCTTTCCAGAGTCTCCACATCTTTTTTACATCGTGGTGATCAAAACTGGATGCAGTATTCCAAGTGTGGCCTTACCAAGGCATTATAAAGTGGTATTAACACTTCACGTGATCTTGATTGTATGTACTGTCTTCATATTTGGGGAAGTAATGATAGCTTAGATCAGGGGTATCAAACTCGATTTCATTGAGGGCTGCATCAGGATTGTGTTTGACCTGGGGTGGGGCAGTGTGGCCGTGGCCAGTGTGGGCATGACCAGCTCAACATCACTTGTGTTGGGGGGGGGTCCCTGTGGTGGCCCGAGCGCTCTGCCAGTGAAAACGGGCTCCCGAGCTCCATTTTCAGCTGTGATGGCCTCCTGCAACCCTCTGCCAGTGAAAATGGAGCTTGCCCTCCCAAGCTCCGTTTTCGCTGGCAGAGGCACCGCAGGTTGGTCCTTCAGTTTCCAGGGTGGCCTCACGGGCCAGATTTAAACACCCTGTGTGTTGGATCCGGCCCACGGGCCTTGAGTTTGATACCCCTGGCTTAGATGGCACCCCCCCTCCCAAAGCTGATGATCCCCTGTTTCTCTTCCCAAGGCAGTGAGTCCTATCAGGCTCTTGGAGAAAGAAGAAGACCTCTGCCCAGACCCACAAGCGGGGAAAGCCTCGTTGGTATTTTTCCTCTGCCCATTGTTCCGAGACGTTGCAGTCTTAACTCTCTGCATGTCGTTCTGGTCACTAAGTTTAGAACAAGAGTTCCCCCTCTGTGATTGATCCTTTCTGCAACTTGGGAGGCCAGGAACTGTGCTGGTCTCCCATCCTCATTGTCTTCTTGTCCCTCCTACTCTCTCCTGCCAAGAGGCTATAAGCCCTCATCAGGTGTCAAAGCCTAAGTCACCCCTCGTCCAGGAGCCAGCTCAGCTCTGGGTTTTTCTCATGATCTTCTGTGTTCAAAGATCATGCAGGGGTCCACAATTATCTACTTCTTCTTCTTCGTGGTCCTGATCTCTGCAGGTAAGTCCTTTGGGTTTTGATTAAGAATACCACCAGATGAGAACCCAAGTTCTCAAAGCAGAGCATTTAATACAGGGGTGGTATTCACTTACTTTCCCTACCGGTTCGGAAATGTGAGCGCACATGCGTCCACGCATGCACCCAGTCTTCCGTACATGCACTTTACTGGTGTGCGTGCCTTCCGTGCATCAGTGGTGGGTTGCCCCTGGTTTGGACCAGTTCTATAGAACCGGTAGTAAAACCGGAGGGAGGCTCCTCCCACCAAACCCTGACATCATCAGAATGCTTCTGCGCATGCGCACGCGGCCCCGTTGCCAACCGGTAGTAAAGGTAAGTAGAACCCACCCCTGCCATGCATGCACCCGGCCTCAAAACATGCCTAAATAAAACCCACAATTTCCGCTACCGGTTTGGGTGAACTGGTCCGAACCGGATGAATCCCACCTCTGATTTAATACCAAAGATTTAACTTAATTCAGGTTGTAGCTCTTGGCATCCAGGCTGTCATTTTTTTTTTTTTTTAATGCAGCACAAACTTGGTGCAGTTTTGGGAGAGTGGAATTCAAGTACAGGTAGCCCTCGCCTTACAACAGTTCCCTTAGTGACCATTCGAAGTTACGACATCGCTGAAAAAAGCGACTTAAGACCGTGGTTCACACTTAACGACCGTTGTAGCATTCCCCATGGTCATGGGATGTACAAATTCAAATTCAAACCTTTATTTTTTTTTTATTGAAAAAGTTTTTCAAATACAGATTTTTCCCCCTTTTTTCTCCCCCCCTCCTCCCTAACCCCCCCTCACCACCCCTCCCCCTGTGACTTCTTCAAAGTAAAATCCAAATTCATAACAGATTATATAATACTTTACCATTCCCTTACTCCATCCCCCAAATACTGACCCTTTCTTTCTAATAAGATTATTATATCCCTTTTACTATACATTTCAAAATAACATTCTACTGTAACATTGTGTAATGACTTCTGATTTAACATAATAATATTATTATAACTCCCAATTTAACAATAATCTGCCCTTTTTCTCCTCCCCCATACATATATCTCTTAAATCAAACCTTTTATGTATATTAATATAACATCTCAAAACAACCTTCCACTTTAAAACTATATAACAAATTCAAACCTTTATTGTCAGAGTTACAACATGTGTACAATGAGATTGGCGGACCTCCCTTCGTGCAACCCCCCCAACCCAATACATCTCATGGTGAAAGACAGTAAAAGAAGAAAAAAATCCCTGATCTAGTGAATCCTACTAACAAACACACAATCCTAGTGCATCATGTTAACTTATTGCACATCGCTCCAGCTCTGTGTCAATCATACTATGTTGTTGGAAAGTTATTTTCCATTCAGAAGCCTGACAGCCCACGGATAAAAACTGTTCTTCAGCCTATTTGTGCGGCTGCCTATGCTTCTATATCTCCTTCCCGATGGCAGGAGTGTGAGTCGTCCCTTGGGATGCTTGACAACTGACTCACATTTATGACAGTTGCGGTGTCCCAGAGTACACGTGATTGCTTTTTTGCGATCTTCTGACAAGCAATGAGGAAACCACTTAACCATCGTGTGACTAATTTAACAGCTGCAGTGATTCACTTAACAATCAAGGCAAGAAAAATCATAAAATGGGGCAAAACTCACGGGACGCATGTCTCCTTCAACAACATAAATTTTGGCCTCCGTTGCGGTCGTACATTGAGGACGACCTGTCAAGTTATGGGATCATGAAATGGGGTGCTTAACTTTTCTATTTCCCTGGAGTTTTAATCGTGATTGTTAGCTTCCCCGCCGGTATAGTTGTTTTCTTACTGCTGTGTCTTGTCCCTAGATAAACACTGCCTAATTGATATATTAAGAGAGATGAGTTGCTCTATCTCCCCTGGAATGTAATATTATATTGAATACTCAGATATGAAGGCACCATCTGTACCTATCCCTTGTGTGTTATTTGTAATGTTCTTTGTGTTGTACGTTGTTTATATGGTGTATTGTTATTTTTTTGTTTTTGTTTTTAAAGGAAAATGTAAATAAAGACTATTTTTAAAAGAAAGAAAAAAAAAGAAAGAAAAACCACTGCCCATAAAAAATAGGCCACCATTCTTGACCTTTTTGGACCATACTCTGGGGTTGTTCCTGACCCCAATGGTGGATAAACTCCAAATTGGTTGCAACAAGGGATGGGCTGCTGTGGGTTCGCAGGGGTTCGGGAGAACCTCTAGCTAAGATTCTGTGCAGTTCGGAGAACCCCCAAATCCCATTCCTGGCTGGCTCCTCCCACCCCAGTCTGCCCCTCACAGGAGTCCCCACGTGGCCCATTTTGGATGCAGGTAAGTACAGGGCGTGCGCGGAGGCTCAGGGAGAGCGAAAAATGGGCCTACTGGAAGTTCGGGAAGGCCCTGTTTCCAACCTCCAGAGGGCCTCCGGAGCCTGGGGAAGGCCGTTTTCGCTCTCCTGAAGGGTTGAGAAAAGCCTCCGGAGTATGGGGAGGACAAAAACGCCCCCGCCATGGTGCAGGAGGCCGATTAGGCCACGCCCACCATGGCCACGCCATGCCTTGCTAAAAATTTTGAAGCCCACCGCTTGTTGCAACTCCTAATATTTATCTATGGGGTTTCCCTTTCAGGTTTTTGTTTGAAGTGTGAACACTGCAGCAGCAGCAGCGGTTTCTGCACTGGTGCGCCGCACATCTGCCGACCTTTCGAAAACACCTGCCTGATTCTCACCACTGAGACCACCATTGGTGAATGATCCTTCTGGCTTGCTCCCGAGCTGACCAGTTATCCACTCAGGACTGGAAACGTGGAGGGAGGGCTCAGTTCCATGAGCAGGGCTGGGAGTTGAAGTGGGCTTGTTTTGTTTGTCCCCTAAAATGATGGACATGCCAAAGTTAGCATGGTGTAAGTTGAGAAAAGTGACAGACGTTGAATTTAAACAGCTGTTTTCTGCAGCACAAATTGGCTGTGCCAGACAGCCAACAGGTAGATGAGGTGCATCTACTGACAGATGCGCCTCAACATTGCAAGGAACTGTCATCTGGCACAGGAACTATTAACTCATTTTATTCTGGGATGAAGAGTCTAGGGAGATTCTCAGTCATCCAGGTCATGGTTGTCCCAAAGGTGCTTTTTTCAGGAGGCAACTGGACTTTCTGGTTTTTATGAATGTGTTTATGATGACGATGATCATGATTTATCACTTATATCTTTTATGGACATTCCTTTGCACCGAAGATAAATTCCTTGTGTGTCCAATCATGCTTGGCCAATAAAAAATTCTATTCTATTCTATTCTATTCTATTCTATTCTATTCTGTTCTGTTCTGTTCTGTTCTGTTTTGTCCTGTCCTGTCCTGTCCTGTCCTGTCCTGTCCTGTCCTGTCCTGTCCTGTCCTATCCTATCCTATCCTATCCTATCCTATCCTATCCTATCCTATCCTATCCTATTCTCTCTTCTCTTCTCTTCTCTTCTCTTCTCTTCTCTTCTCTTCTCTTCTCTTCTCTTCTCTTCTCTTCTCTTCTCTTCTCTTCTCTTCTCTTCTCCTTCTATTCTGATGTTTCGCTTCTCATGCACAACCTGAAGAAGGATGAGACGCAAAACGTCTTCAAAGAAAAACCAGAAAGTCTTGAAAAAAAAACACCTTTGGGTCTGGGTTGAAGTGAATTTGAGGAAGTAGATTAAAGTCAAAGGCCATTTAGGAGTACAGATAGTGCTGTACTTCCGAACAAGTGATGTTCTAAAAGGCTGTTTATAAGTCCATTTTTTTTTTTTGCAAGTCCAATCAAGTGTACTTACGTGGCGTGCTATAAATTAACTTTCACCCAACCTCCAGGATATTCTTGGTTGGAGGTGCAGGCAGCTTTGTTCGTATCGGTGCAAGTTTTCAACTCAAACATTTGTTAAGTGGAATAATGCCTGTAGCCACTTTTTGGATCCCAGTGATGCATTTGGAACTTTTGAGAATATATTATGGGTTTTATTTTGTGTGTGGCTTTGTGTCCGTGTGTGCTTTTGAGGCAGTGTTGACTCCTGGAGAATGCCTGGACAGGTTTCTGCAGTTTTCTTGGCCAAGTTTTTGTGGAAGTGGTTTGTCATTGCCTCCTGCTTGGAGCTGAGAGAAAGTGACCAGCCCAAGATCACCCAGTTGGCTTTGTGCCTTAGGTGAAACTAGAACTCACTGTCTCCCAGTTTCTAGCCCACTACACCCAAATTGACTCTGTATTATGGGCACATATATCACAAATGGCTGCCATTATGTGTATGGTCTATTACAGGGGTATCAAACTCAAGGCCCGTGGGCAGCATCCGGTCCACCGGGTGCTTAAATCTGGGCCATATCAAAGGATGGCCCACAGTGCCTTTGCTGGCCAAAGTGGGCTGTGGGGGAGGGCTGCATGGCCCAATTTTCGCACTCCCGGGCCTCCAGCAGCACTCTGCCGGCCAAAAATGGGCTGCATGTAGGCCCCAGGAGGCCCCTGCACCAGTGGTGGAATTTAAATTTTTTTTACTAGTGGTTCTGTGGGCGTGGCTTGGTGGGCTTGGTGGGCGTGGCTGGTGGGCATGGCAGGGGAAGCATACTGCAAAATCCCCATTCCCTCCCCACTCCTGGGGGAAAGATATTCCAAGATCTCCATTCCCTCCCCACTCTGGGGCCAGCCAGAGGTGGTATTTGCTGGTTCTCCGAACTACTCAAAATTTCCGCTACCAGTTCTCCAGAACCTGTCAGAACCTGCTGGATTTCACCCCTGCCCTGCACAGCCCGTGTTTTACCTCCCCGGCCTCCAGAAGCACTCTGCTGGCCAAAAACACCCCCCCCCCACTCACTCGCCCCTGGCCCTCCAAGGTCAAACACAACTCTGATGCAGCCCTCAATGAAATTGAGTTTGACACCCTTGGTATATTATGAAACACTGATTTAGCAGTGGCAAAACTGGCGAGGTTGCTCCTCGCCACCCCACCCAACGTTGGAGCTAACTGGAGCTCACTCTGGTATTTCTTTCCCCCTTCCCAACGAATCCCCTTCCAATCCCTGAGTGGGTTTTCCTTTCTCAAGAATTTGACTTTGCTAACCCCTGTCTTGACTGTCACTCTTCCCACTGCACAGGGAAGGAGGTGTGGCTCGCCACTTACAAAGGCTGCAGCAAAATCAAGTATTGTGTTCCATCGCCAATGAGTTTCACCCTCCCTTCGAGACGCAAGCGGAGTGCCGCGAAGTGTTGTCGCAAGGACCTTTGCAACAGCGGAACCGTGACATGTAAGCGCTAGTCTCCTAGTCTATGAGCCACGGTGGCGCAGTGGTGAGAGTGCAGTACTGCAGGCTACTTCTGCTGACTGCCGCCTGCCTGCAATTTGTCAGTTCAAAGCTCACCAAGCTCAAGGTTGACTCAACCTTCCATCCTTCCGAGATGGGTAAAATGGGGATATATGCTGACTCTGTAAGAACCGTTTAGTGCTGTAAAGCACTGTAAAGCGGTATATAAGTCTAAGTGCTATTGCTATTACAGTAATGGAATTTTCCAAGGCTGGAAATGCTTCCCCATTTCCCTGCTCTTCTATTCCAAAGAACTGGGAAGAATCCTGAGATACTTTCTCTACTCCTGTTCATGCTTTAGACCAGTGATGGCTAACCTTTTTGCCGTCGTGTGCCAAAAGTGGGTGTAATGGGGGAGATTGTGTGCACGCATGCCCACACCCATAATTCAATGCGCCCCGTCCCCCCAGGCAGGCATGCATGACCCCCCCTCTCTCCCCCCCGCTTTTGGCATGCGATGGCACGGTGGGCCGGTAGGCCCATTTGTTTGCCCTCCCCAGGCTCCAGAGCCTTTCTAGGAGCCTGGGGACGGTGAAAACAGCCTTCCCCACTCCCCCGGAGGCCAGGAAACAGCCCATTTCCTGACTTCAGGTGGGCCCGAAAGGCCCGAAAATCAGTTGGCCAGCGCACACATGTGTGCTGGACTGAGGTAGGGCAATGCTCGTGTGCCCACAGATATGGTTTCGTGTGCCACCTGTGGCACCTGTGCCATAGGTTCGCCATCACGGCTTTAGACTGTTGTTTCAGCTGCGGTTCTTTCTTCTGTCTTTCAAAGTTATTCTCACAGCCCATTACAGGCAGTTCTTGCTTAATGACTGTCCGGTTTTAGCGACCACTTCAAATTATAGCTGCACTGAAAAAAATAATTTTATGGCTTATGCCCATCACAGCATTCCCTCCTCCACCCAGTCATGTGATCAAGATTTAGGTGCTCCCCAGCTGGTGGGCATTTAGGATAGGGAGAATCAATGGAGAAGCTGGCAATGAAATCATGAGTTGTGGTCACCTAAATGTTTCGTTTAATGATTGTGGATGATTCACTTAAGAACTGTGGAGGAAGTGAGGTTGTACGTCTGTCATGGTCACGTGATGTCCTGCTTAACAACCATGTGTCAGGGTTCCAAGTAATAATCCCATAGCAAACAAAACTCCGAGGCCAGTAGATTCCTCAAAGAATAGTTTTATTGGATATATCATATTGGCACAGTTCTGGTGAAAACCGACTCTGAAGGTTCCTGCGGTTTTCATCTAATTAAAAGTAAAAGGTTTTTTCTCTCTTCCCCAAACTATCAGTCACATGGTCCAATCAGGTTGCCATCCAGTTGCTTGGTAACTTCACTCCTCCTCTCTCTGACCACCTGTGGGAATGTCCTTGGTTCCCAGGAGAAAGTATTTTGTTTTGGCTACAAAACCCCAGCTATCTCTATTCCCCCCCTCCCTATCCCTCAGCTCCAGTGTGGCAACACTGAAGCCTCAAAAATGGCCTCGGTCAGGTCAGCTTCAGGGTTGGCACCATGTTTACTTAATGACAAAGTTGCCAATCCCAATTGTGGTCATTAAGTGAGGACTACCTGTATGAAATGTGACTTCTGAAAACTATGAGACAAACTCTAGTAAATCTTCTTGAGATAGAATCGAAGAGGTAACCCTTGGCTTTCATTTGGGATTCCAAGAAGTCAGAGTGAAGATCTAAGATGGGGAAATTCCTAGGGATTGAGAAGATGGGATGACAATGTGATCATTTCTGCTTGTTTTCCCTCGTTTCCCAAGTGCCCAAACTCGGGATCCGCCCAAACGGAATGAAATGTCCAGGATGCATCTCACAGGATCCGACTTGCAAACCCACTGAGCTGATTCATTGCAACGGCTGGGAAGAGTATTGTGTCCATTACGATATGACGGTAGAACAAGGTAAGATCTGAGGAATAGTATTGTCACTTACGGTGGGAATGGGAAAGAAGAAAGTGTGTGAACCGGAATGAGCCTGATGATGTCAGGTATTTCCACTATTTAATGACAAAAACTGGGCAAGAAGTTTGATGTACGAGGCTTCCTTCGTGACCTCTGAGCTGCATCTGATTACGATGGCAATGGCAAGGTGCGATGACCCAGGGTACGGCACATCGGTAACCCAGGTAGTTGGCAGTTCAAACTGCCCCTTTATTGCTCCATATTTCCCCAAACGCTCTCATGTTTCTGGCAAGTCCCAGAGCAAAATGATGACACACCCACACGTACACTTCAAGCAGCCTCTGGCTGCAAATAGTCCAGCCCAATGCTGTGAACACCACAGTTGCAAAGCAAGAAATCCAGCAGGGCAAGTTGAGGAGTCCAGGAATCAAAGGAGCAAGGCAAGTATCCAGAAATCCAGAAAGAATGCAAGGAATTCAGGAAAGTTCAAACGTCGGCACTCAACGTTCCATGAATTCAGCATTTGTTCCCGACAGATGCCCCTCCACACAACGACTCCTTAAGACTCAGTCCCCAGGTGTGCCTTGTGAAGAGGGGAGGGGCACTCTCCTCCCAAGTAGCTGGGTCAGTCTGCGCTGTTCTCACCTTCTCTCCACTCTCCATGCTCGAGGATCAGGATGGGGCGGTCCCTGCTCATCGCCCGAGCTCTGTCTCTCATGTTCACTGCTTAGCTTCTCTTGGTCATCCTGCCCCTGTTCTTCCTTGCCTACAAGTCATCCCAATCCTGAAAGGCCCTGGCCTGACTGGGCCTGCTCCTCCCCATTTTCCTCCGAAGCCAATGAAGCTGCCCCCTCGATCTCCGTCGGCTCCAGTTCCAGCTCATCTTCCCCCACAGATTCAGTCTCCAACGGGGGCATGACACAGGGTTTCTAGACATTCTGGTACACGAAATGCACAAAGACTGTAGCCTATTGCAAAAAAACCCAACCGCACCATTACTTACTTATTTGTATATTGTCTTTATTCTTTTTACAAATAAGGCAAGATGGCAAACATGTCCAAACACAAACTTTTTACCTCATACTTTACCCACAACAACAACAACAACCCTGTGAGGCAAGTTGGACCGAGAGTGTGACTAGCCGAAGGTCACCCAGTTGGTTTTCATGGCTAAGGTGGGACTAGAACTCACAGTCTCCTGGTTTCTAGTCTGTTGCTTTAACCACTATATCAGACTGGTTCTCTTGCCAGTTTGACGTATGAAATGCACAAACACTAGAAGCAAGTCTAAAAACAGGCTGAAAACAGAATGAATTCATTTTTATTCTGGGCTTTTGGCCATTTAATAAATACAATAAATCTAATGAGCATTGTTTTTAAAATAAAAATTAGCTTGGCCAGTGCGGTCATGCTGGGTATGACTGGGTTTTGCCCTTAATAGCAATAGTTTAATGAGATTGCAGGCATTTTAATTAAATCCAGGCTCATCTCTGCAGAACAATAGATTCGCATCTATTTTCCTTCCTTGCTTCTTTCCTTCTTTCCTTCCTTCCCTCCTTCCTTCCTTCCTCCCTTCCTTCCTCCTTCTGTCCCTCCTTTCTCTGACCCTTCCTCCCTCCCTTCCTTCCCTGACCCCCTTCCTTCCTTCCTTCCTTCTTTTCTTTCCCTCCCTCCTCCTCCTTCCTTCCTTCCTTTCCTCCCTGTTGCCAGCCTTCTCTGATCCTTCCCTTCTCTCTGACCTTCCTTCCTTCCTTCCTTCCTCCCTCCCTCCCTCCCTCCCTTCCTTCCCTCCCTCCCTTCCTCCCTGACCACCCCTTCCTTCCTTCCTTCCTTCCCTTCCTTCCTTCCTTCCTTCCTTCCTTCCTTCCTTCCTTCCTTCTTTCCTTCCTCTCTCCCTCCTTCCTTCCTTCCTTCTTTTCTCCTGTCTGCCAGCCTTCTCTGACCCTCCCTCCCTTCTCTGACCCTCCTTCCTTCCTTCCTTCCTTCCTTCCTTCCTTCCTTCCTTCCTTCCTTCCTTCCTCCCTCCCTGCCTGCCTGCCTGCCTGCCTGCCTGCCTGCCTTCTTTCCTCCCTGCCTGCCTGCCTTCTCTGATCCTCCCTCCCTTCTCTGACCTTCCTTCCTTCCTTCCTTCCTTCCCTCCCTCCCTCCCTCCCTCCCTCCCTCCCTCCCTTCCTTCCCTCCCTCCCTTCCTTCCCTGACCCACCCCCTTCCTTCCTTCCTTCCTTCCTTCCTTCCTTCCTTCCTTCCTTCCTTCCTTCCTTCCTTCCTTCCTTCTTTCCTTCCCTCTCTCCCTCCTTCCTTCCTTCCTTCTTTTCTCCCTGTCTGCCAGCCTTCTCTGACCCTCCTTCCTTCCTTCCTTCCTTCCTTCCTTCCTGCCTGCCTGCCTGCCTGCCTGCCTGCCTGCCTTCTCTGTCACTTCATCCACCCACCCACCCACCCAACGTATGGGACTGCTCATCTCACAGCACTGAATGTAAAAGTTCTTCCTGCAAATATCACACGTAGTAAACAGATAAATTTGTTCCTCTTCTCCTGATAAGAGGCTAAAAGTGCAGAGGAACATGTTCCAGTTTCCCTAGGACATTTGTTTCAAGAGTACAACGTACCTCCCCACAAATCCTCCTGGATGCCAGGAAATAACAATAAACCAGCCTGAAAACCCTGCCCCAGACTCTGATCCCACACTCTCCCTTGCCTGATACACAATGGACTTTGTTATCATCTTTCTCAATTCCTGCAGAGGGAAGATTCTACAGTCACGCAGAACGGGGCTGTGGAACCAAGAATGCTTGTCTGAATGAGCCACGTATTTACGGGGTGCCCGGATTATACAAGGAGATCATAAAGAAATCCGAATGCACCCCTGCTCCCAAAATCATTGGCAAATAGCCCTGACTTCAAGAAAACACCGAGCAAGGTGGAAGATAAGATGAAGCATCTTTGTTCTGAATCGGAGGGTTTTCTTTAAAAAAATGGGGGGGGGGGAAATCACATTTAATAAAATACATTTTAAAAATGTAGAAGTCTTGCTGGTGCATGCTGAATCTTGAGATGCCCCCATTTCACTGCTAATAATCAACCTATACTTATCAGGGTTTGCGATGAAATATATTTTCTGGCAAGGAAAATATTTTTATGTTTCAGTAATATCTTAAAACATTCATGTCTTCATTTTCCTGGTGAAGAAAGAAAATAAATTTGCTTGAATATATACTTAGGCCAGGGGTGGACAACTGTGGCCCTTTTACAGCCTGTGGACTTCAACTCCCAGAATTCCTGAGACAGTCAAGCTGGCTCAGAGATTCTGGGAGTTGAAGTCCACAGGTTGTAAAAGGGCCACAGTTGCCCACCCTGAATTTAGGCATTACATTCACACAATACATGGAACCCGAGTTGAAATGCTACTGGTTTGGTCCGGATTCAGGCGAACCATGCATGCTTCAGTGAACTGGTAGCGGCGGCAGCGCGAGGCTCCGCCCACCCATCCGGATGTCGTTACTTCCTGGTTTTAACCAGGAAATAACTTGTTTTTGAACCTCTGCGCGTGCACAGAAGACTTTGTGCATGCGCAGAGGGGCTAAAATTGGATATGAAGATGGTGTGCTTCCCAACCGGTAGGGAAGGTAAGTATTTTTCATCCCTGCCTGGAACCCAATTTCTGAACTGATCTTTTTTCTGGGGTTGCACAAATCAATGGGTATTAAAGTTACTTAGCAGCCAATGTTTATACACCTTAAATTACTAATTAAAAAGGGGGGGGGAAGGGAAAAAAAAAGCAGAGTTGAAAACTCCTTGTGCAAATGCAGCCATCTGGTTTTATCATCAACCATCCCTACGACTTTAGTGAAAACAGAAATTCTCATACCAGAAGCAGACATCTGCTAGATAGATTCCAATATTGGCATACAGTAATGAAAGATAAACATGAAATATTGCCTACAAGGTACAATTAGAATATTTTATGATATTTATTAACAGGTACACACACAGGAGATTTATGTAAGCACAGTGAAAGTCAATGCAAGTAAAAAAAATCATTAAAAAAATTATTTAACAGAATAACAAAAGAATTGGAGGTCTTCTAGTCTAACCTGCTACTCAAGTGGGAACCCCTTAAGCCCATGATGGTGAACTAATGGCACATGTGCTGGAAGTGGCATACAGAGCCATCTCTCCGGGCATATGAGCCTTCACCCATTACTCTTCCGGGTTCCGACACACCGGCCAGCTGGTCTTCACACATGTGGGAGTGCTGGAAACTGGAAGAGCATCCGCCCTGCACGCATGTGCGTGCCGGGAAGATGATCTTCCAGTTTCCGGCACATGCATGCGTGCTGGCCACTCGGTCTTCTGGTTCCTGGTGCACATGCGCATGCGAAGACCAGTTGGCTGACACGCATGCGCTTCCGGAAACTGGAAGATCATCCAAAGTGTAAATTCTTTATGGCAATTTAATCTCCTAGCTCTGTGATGGCGAACCTATAGCAAGAAGTGCACGCACCGTGCTTCCTCTTCTTCGGGAACTCCTCCTCCTGCCTCTTCCTTTTCTCCTGCTCCTCCTCCTCACTCTCCCTTTTCTCCTCTTCCTCTTCCTCTCTCTCTTCCTTTCTCTTCCTCTTCTTCCTCTTCTTCTTCCTCTTCCTCTTCCCTCTCTCTTTCCTCCTGCCTCCTCCCTTCTCCCTCCTCTTCTCCTTCTTCTCTTCCTTCTTTCCTCTCTTTCTTCTTCTTCTCCTTCTGTTTCTCTTCTTCTCTTTCTCTTCTCTCTTCACTCCTCCTTCCCTCCTCCTCTCCTTCTCCTCCTCTCCTCCTCCTCCTCCTCCTCCTCCTCCTCCTCTCCTCTTTCTTCTTCTTCTTCTTCTTCTTCTTCTTCTTCTTCTTCTTCTTCTTTCTTTTTCTCCTTCCTCCTCCTCTCCTCCTCCTCCTCCTCCTCCTCCTCCCCTCTCCTCCTCCTCCCTCTTTTTTCTCCTCCTCCTCCTCCACAAACACATAAACTTTTTTTAAATCCCCAATTATTCATCTAAAAATCCTGAAGGTGAAGCTTGATTAAACAAATGAAGAATTCAAACATCTCCGTTCCGGGAAGAAGCAGTCAATGATATTCAAAAAATAAATAATAACAGGTAAAACAATATAAAAAGAGTACAGCAGTTTAAAAGCAGTATGTTTAAACAATGTAAAGAAACATATAAAGACAATAAAAAAATCCATAAAGCTCCTAGGCAAGGTAGTCCCATCCACCAATAACCATCAGTACAGCCGCTGTGTCACCTCTGCCATCTTTTTGATTCTCCATGCCCGTTGGCAAATCCATGTTTTCAGGGCCTTGAGAAAGGAATGGGTAGAAATATCTGGCCACTGATCAACTGATGAGAATAAAATTTAAAAAAAATCGCTTGAGAAAAGAAGAGGAATCTATCCAGGGATCTCAGCTCAACTGTAATTCAGGCTAGCAAAGCATTTGTTTAGCAACCATTGGAAGTTACAATGGCACTGAAAAGAGTGACCAGTCCTCGCATTTATAACCATTGCAGCGTCCTCACAGTCACTTGATCAAAATTCGGGGAATATTAGAATGGAAAATATTAGAATGTGAAGAAATGAACAGATTAACACTAGCAATTAAGGAGAAAGAACAAACTGATATGGGATAAGATATGGGAAGTATTCTATCAATGGTTAGCGAGTAAAAAGGGAAACTGGGTATAAAAGAAGAAGATGAAAGAAGAATAGAAAACATGTTAAGATAGAAGTATAAATAAGATGATAATTGTTAGCATTAGGATGAGGAGGATCATTATGTGTAATGCTATTATTATTGTATTTTTACTAGAAGACACGTTAAGAGGAAAAACAAATAGGCTTATAATATTTAATCATTTAACATACTATAATTTTAAGATTAAAGGATTATATTAAAGTAAACGATGTTGCATATATATATATATATATGTAGGTCTTTGGTTATTCGGGTTTTCTCCTGTGTAAAATTGGAAGTGTCTTGGCGACGTTTCGACGAAGTCTCATTCGTCATCTTCAGGCTGGTGTTTTTGGCTTCGTGCTTCTAGGAGCAATGTGAGATCGCAGCTGTTTCTTCCTTCCCGAATAACCAAAGACCTACATACAAATACCCACGAAAACATTTATATATATATATATATATATATATGTATGTATGTATGTATGTATGTATGTATGTATGTATGTATGTATGTATTTATGAGGGTTGCAGTACCCCAAGGTCGCCATTTTGGCCGCCATTTCCAACCTTCCCAGCATTGACTGTCAACGGTTCGTTTAGTGACTTGTTCGAAGTTACAACAGTGAAAAAAGTGACTCGTGCAGCATCCCCAGATTCGTAGGCTTGGCAACTGAGTCATGTTTATGATGGTTGCAGTGTCCCACGATCCCCTTTTGCGACCTTCCAACAAGCAATGGTCAATGAGGAAGCCAGATTCACTTAATAACCGTGTTACTAATTAAACAACCGCAGTAATTCACTTAACAACTGTGGCCAGAAGGGCCGTCAAATAGGGCAAATTTCATTTAACAATTTCCTCACTTAGCAACAGAGACGTTGGGCTCAACTGCGGTCATAAGTCAAGGACTACCTGCATTATTGTATTATTTTCCTTCTTTAGTTGTATTTTAATTTTTTTTTTTTTTTGTTTAGGGTTTTTTTTTTGGTAAAATTAATGATTGTTTAGTTACGAGAAACAAAAGTAAGGAAGAAAATAAAATTTTTAAAAAGGGAAAGGTTCTGTTTTCCATGGGCTTGGCAGTCCAAAGGTCATTAGAATCTCCTTGGTAAATGATTACTCCTGCCAGTTATGACAATCTGCATCCAGTTCCTGCAAGCCCATCCTGCTGGAAGTCCTTCCTGGTTTAAAAAGTGAAAATTATATCTATATCTTGTGGTGACAGTCAGTAATCATTCTCTGGACTTTGATTTGCAATTGCTTCCTCATTCTGTTCCCCACCCTTAATTTAATAGCACCGATACTCATTTGGATTTATGATTGGGCTAAATGCCTCCTCCTCCCTCCCTCCCTCCCTCCCTCCCTCCCTTCTTTCTTTCCTTCCCTCCTTCCCTCCCTCCATTCACCCACCTTTCCCCCCTCTCCCTGACTCTCCCTTCCTCCTTCCCTTCCTTCTTCCTTCTCCCTCCCTCCCTCCGTTCACCCACCTTTCCCCTCCCTCCCTGACCCTTCTCCCTCCCTTCCTTCTTCCTCCCTCCTCCCTCCCTCCCCTTCTTCTTCCCTTCCTCCTTCCTTCTCCCTCCCTCCCTTCCTCCCCCTTTCACCCACCTTTCCCCCCTCCCTCCCTGACTCTCCCTTCCTCCTTCCCTTCCTTCCTTCCTTCTCCCTCCCTCCCTCCGTTCACCCACCTTTCCCCTCCCTCCCTGACCCTCTCCCTCCCTTCCTTCTTCCTCCCTCCCTCCCTCCCTTGTTCCTTCCCTCCTTCCTTCTCCCTCCCTTCCTTCCTCCCCCTTCACCCACTTTTCCCCACTCCCTCCCTGACCATCCCTTCTTCCTTCCTTCCTTCCTTCCTTCCTTCCTTCCTTCCTTCCTTCCTTCCTTCCTTCCTTCCTTCCTTCCTCCCTCCCTCCCTCCCTCCCTCCCTTCACCCACCTTTCCCCACTCCCTCCCTGACCCTCCCTCCCTTCTCTCTCTCTCTCTCTCTCTCTCTCTCTCTCTCTCTCTTCTCTCTCTCTCCTCTTTCTTTTCTCTCTCTCTTTCTTTCTCCAAGCTTGAAACTTGGTGATGTTACGACCATATCCCCAAAGTTTTTTTTGGAACAATTTTATGTGTGATGGTTTTGTTTTGTTTTTTTAAAATTGTTTTATTAATGAAGCCAGCCTTGAAATGGAATCGATTATGGCCAATTTTTTTTTCATCTAGTTAGAGAGCTTCAGAGTCTGCTCAGTGGGTTTTCTAGGAAAATCAGAAACCAGAAGATTTACCCATCCAGAGCAGCAGGTTTTAGGATAGGCAGATTACCCAAACGCATACATTGAAAAAATTGACGGTGACATGAATTTCCCTGTTCTTTGTGATCATAAAAACAACCAACAAGGAAATATAGAGTGGTACAAAAGAACATTAAAGAAGCTCAGCTGAATTATCATGGGCACACCCTACTTTGAAGAATGCTGAAGCCTAAACTGTTGCCGTATAAAACCCACTGGGTAAAATCCCTTGAAATGGCACATAGGACAATTAATATTTCTATGAAGACCTGTTGCTCCGAATAACAGGACTGAAAGTCTCCACTCAAACATATTATCCAGAGCTTAAGGCTTCTGGCGTGGTGTGTGACTGTGCCAGCTATACATCATGTCTTTCTTATGGTAGTATCAGTCTACTGATTGTTGGATGACTAGAAGATAGGACCTTCTCCATTTGCAAGGACAAACAGATCTTCAAGGTTTCCTCTCTTTTTCCCCTCTCCTCTGGCCTTCTTCATCTTCTGGCCATGAGTAGGAAGCCTCCTTAGATATTCCACAGTTAAAATAGCCTTTTACTCTTTATTCCAATACTACCCAAGATCAGCTTCAAGGTGGGCAGAACTATTACCTGCTTTATCTTGGAGGGAAATCAAAGGACTGATAATAGGTGGGGACTGAAAAAATTAGAGGCAGGATAGAGACAGGCACGTTTCATTCAGGGTGCTTTGCTGTTGACATAAGGTTGGGTAGAAGTATTATTATTACTCAGTGGTTAAGAAATGCTCTTAATGACGAATAGAGAAATGGATGGAGATAGTCCAAAGGCTGAAAGATCAGGAAATAGATAATTTATTCAGTTCTCTCTCACCTGGGTTTCAAATTATGGGGGTAGCAAATGGATCCAAAAATTATGAACTCAAAAGCTAAGTCTTAACAATACCCCTGTTTCTTGACCCTAACCCTAACCCAAAACCAGGGCTGAAATCCAGCAGGTTCTGACAGGTTCTGGAGAACTGGTAGCGGAAATTTTGAGCTGTTCGGAGAGAACCGGCAGTGGAAATTTTGAGTAGTTAGGAGACTGGCAAATACCATCTCTGGCTGGCCCCAGAATGGGGTGGAATTGTTATTTTGCAATATCCTTCCCCCAGGAGTGGGGAGGCAATGGGGATTTTGCAGTATCTTCCCCTGAAGTGTGGGTGGGATTGGAGATTTTGCAGTATCCTTTCCCTGCCACATCCACCAAGCCACATCATGCCCACCAAGCCACACCATGCCCACCAAGCCATGCCCACAGAACAGGTAGTAAAAAAAATTGGATTTCACCAATGCCCACAACCAGCTGTTGCTGGATACATTCAGGCAACTAGATGATTGCATCTGAGAGCAGTCGATGTCAGGTTCACTGGCAAGAAATAATATGAACAAGTGTGAGCCACACATAATCTAGGGCCAGGGTGTCCAACCTTGACAACTTTAAGACATGTGGACTTCAACTCTCAGCTGTCTGTCTGGGGAATATTGGGAGTTGAAGTCCACAAGTCTTAAAAGTTGCCAAGGTTGGACACCCCTAGTCTAGGGCAATACTGTCAATGTTCAGATGGGCATGCATCAGTGGTGGGTTTCAACATTTTTTACTACCGATTCTGTGGGTGTGGCTTGGTGGGCATGGCATAGCTTGGTGGGTGAGGCTTGGTGGGTGTGGCAGGGGAAGGATACTGTAAAATCTCCATTCCCACCCCACGCCAGGGGAAGGTTACTGCAAAATCCCCATTTCCTCCCGATCAGCTGAGACTAGGGAGGTAGAGAATAGATGGGGGTGGGGCCAGTCAGAGGTAGTATTTACCGGTTCTCCAAACTACCTCAAAATTTCTGCTACTGGTTCTCCAGAACTGGTCAGAACCTGCTGAAACCCACCTCTGGTATACATCAATAGCCTGGTGTGTTCCCACAGACAGGGCCTCCTCAGGGTGCTGTCGGCTAGACAATGTCGGCTGGTGACCCCCAGGGGGAGAGCTTTCTCTGTGGGCGCACCCACCCTCTGGAACCAACTTCCTTTGGAGCTCTGGATGGGCCCTGACCTTCGCTCATTCTGCCGCGAGTTGAAGACCTGGTTGTTCCGTAGCCTGGATTGATGGGGTTTATTTTAATGAATTTTAAACTGTTTTAAATTGGGTTTAAATTTTATATTGTTTTAATAAGGAACTATGCATTTTACCGTTGTGAGCCGCCCTGAGTCCTCGGAGATAGGGCGGCATATAAATTGCATAAAATAAATAAATAAATAAACAAATCAAAATTCCCCAGCCAGCAGGGGAGATGAATTCCATTCATTTAAGATGCTGAGATTAAGATACACTGGTCTAGATAAACAGGGTTTCAAAATTACAGCAACAACAACAACAGCAACAAACCATATCTTTTCCCTTCCTAGGTAAACCAGAAGATCATTTTAGTTAAGTGATTGGATCAAATTCCCAGAGAATGCAATGGACATGCTCACAAAATGACAGCCATGTACGTAGAAGTTCACTCATTATTAAGATGAGGCAAATTTAATCAGTTTGGGATGCTAGCAGAAGCCAAGAGAGGCTGCTTTATACAGTATAATCATCCAGAGAAGAAGAAATTCCAGGAAAAGATGTAAAAGTATCGTATAAAATTAGAAAGAAAGAAACTGAATTGCAAAAGACACCAATGGAGTCTAAAATTTTTCACCAACTGCCATGGTGAAACTGTACACCAACTGCTGTATCAACCATAGATGGTCCATGTTAAGAGCAAGGGTGAAATGCTATCGGTTCTCTCCGGTTCGGGCGAATTGGTAGCGGTGGCGGCACGTGGTTTGGTGAACTGGTAGCGGCGGCAGCGCGAGACTCTGCCCACTCACCCAGATGTGGTTACTTCCTGGTTTTAACCAGGAAACAACCAGTTTTTGACCCTCTGCGCATGCAGAGAAGGCTTTATGCCTGCGCAGAGGGTCCAAAATCGGACATGAAGATGGCACGCATATCAGCAGAGGCTTTTTTTTCCTTTTAAAAACATGTTTTCTACAACCTCTTCGGCCAAAGAGGTTGTAAAAAAAAAAATGCTTTTAAAAGCCTCTGCCAATCAGGCAACTCAGTTGGGATCATCAGAGCCTTTTAAAAGCATTTTTTCCACAACCTCTTCGGCCGAGGAGGTTGTAGAAAAAATACTTTGAAAAGCCTTTAACGATGGAAGAAATTATCCTTCCGGGTTGCATCACCTGTGGCTCATAATCTTAGGAAGGGGTGCATATACACACGCACACATAGACAAGCCCAGCTACCTGGGATTTTTCAACCACTCCCTGAACAGGGCAATCTTTTTAAAAAAATTTAAATTTTTTTTAATTTGATTTATATGCCGCCCTTCTCCGGAGACTCAGGGCGGCTTACAGTGCATTAAGCAATAGCCTTCATACTTTTGTATATTTATACAAAGTCAGCTTATTGCCCCCACAAACTGGGTCCTCAATTTACCTACCTTAGAAAGGACGGAAGGCTGAGTCAACCTTGAATCTTGTAATCTTGTAATAGGTTCACCCATTTGGACCTATTACAGAGTTGCACAAAGTGATATTATGGATGTAATCAATTATTACCGTTATGACGTCCTTGGACAATGTAACTGCTATTAAGAGGTAAATTATATTCTGAATCCTGTTGTCCTTTATTGCCAAGAGGCAGAGGGCTTCCCAACCACTCCCTGCCTATAAATACCTCACCCAGAGAAGATCTCCCTCTCAGAGAACCAGGACCGACCTGAACAGCGGCACGATGGCTTCCTTTGTGCTCTTCATCTTCATCATCTCCCTCCTTCCTGTGGCAAGAACTACAAGTATGTGGGGTTCTTTGAATTAATTTCCATTTCTTCTGATGCAGTTGTAACTGTTTTCTACTGGACAACCAAAGTTTTTGAGTTAGGCAGTTCTGCCTTCCTCTCAGATTGCATCAACCGAATAGGCTCTCCAAGACAAGCCCGCTAAGATGACCTTTGGGTGGAAGGATGGGGGAAGCAAGGAAGGTGGATTCCCTGAGCCAGCAAGATTGGTTGGAAGTTCAGGCAGCAAAGAATCCGGGACCAATATTGGAACATACTGAAATGTGGATTGAGATAGACCTCTGAATATCTCAAGGGCACGGTGTTGGCTGTTGATTGATGATGATTGATTTCATAAAATCAATCATTCTGATTGGGTTAGGCCAGGGGTCTGCAACCTTAAACACTCAAAGAGCCATTTGGACCCATTTCCCACAGAAAAGAAAACACCGGGAGCCACAAAACTAGCCTATGTAGTTTAATTAAACATTCTGTTTTCTTCTGAAACTTTTTCTTCTCTTGGATTTATCCATGGTTGGCCTACCGGAGGTTGAAAAGCTCAATAAATCGTGTGCTGAAAATCTCAATAAATCGTTGCACATTGGCAGCTGTGACACATATTTTGAGTGACAGGGAGCCGCAGCAGAGGGGTGAAAGAGCCACATGCGGCTCCAGAGCTGCAGGTTGCTGACCCCTGGGTTAGGCAGAAACCTTTTGCATGGAAGAGAATGCAAACAAATGGAATTCGAGCTAAATGTTAAACACAGAATCTGGGCAGATAGTTATGATCATTTCTTTCTACCATTACTTTATTACTACTTAGGGATGAGTACCTGCTTTGACTTGGCTTGTTTTATCTTGTTTTAAAGAAAGTGATATGCAATTCAGCCAGGTGCGTTCATCTGTGGGTATCTTTCTGCTCCTTCCTGGTGTAATATCTCTCTGTATTTCTCTCTCTCTGTGTATGTGTGTGTCACTAAAAAGCACAAGTCTTTTGTAAGTTTCCGATTTTTATTTTTTGGGGTTGGTTTCTCATTCTACCCCAAACATGGTTTTCTTCCTCTCTGTGGTCAGAGGTTCATCCTAAACCATTTAGGGAATTTCTTCCCAGCCTTCTGCTAGGATGGGAATAATAAAATTGGAAGAGGGCTAGAGTCCGCTTCAGGATTAAAGTATATTTTATATCACAACTGAAATCTGAAGGAGCCTCAAACAAATGTATTTCCTTTTTTTTTTTAATCCTTACCACTCTCTCTAGAATGTTCTCAGTGTTTCAATGATGGAGGACCTTCCTGTTCTGTCTCTGTACAAAGAAACTGTACAAATGAAGAAAAGTGCTTTGGTGTCATCTCTACGGCCAACTTGTCGATAGGTAAGTGGATTAATTTTTATGTTCATCTTTTTTGTTATGTTGATTTGGATGATATGGACATATCTATCTCCATGATATTATGGTTTCATATAAAGCAGTGTTTCTCAAACATGACGATTTTCAGACTTGTGGACTTCAGCTCTGAGAATTTTGAGAAATATTGGTCTAAAGTATGTCTAGGGGTGTGTTTGGGTGTATAAAAATCCCCTTTTCATCCTTATGGTGGTCCATGTCTTCCTCAATCTCAGGTCCTCTATTGAGGGCCTTCAACACAAGATTGGGGACATGTGATAACTACTTTTGGGTGTCTGACAAGCTGCCTTGTAGAAGGTGAAGCAGAAATGTTAGAGTTATACCAAAAGACATGAGATGAGAAATCATGGATTTAAATTACCAGAAACAGAATTTAATGGACACCAGGTACTCTTTCCTTATGGTAGGAACTATTCGAGAATGGAAAAGTTTGTCTTGGTAGGTGGTGGTGGACATTTTGGTTTCATATAATGAAATGTTTCTCAAACTTGTCAATTTTCAGACATGTAGACAAGAATTTTTGAGAAACATTGATAGAAGGTCCTCTATCAGGGGCCTTGAGGACAAGATTGGGGAGATGTGGTAACTGTTTTCAGATATCTGAAGAACTGCCTTGTAGAAGACGAGGCAGAAATTTTAGAGTTATTCCAAAAGACAGGATGAGAAATCATTGGTTTAAATTACCAGGAAATAGATATTTGGTGGACACCAGGAAACCTTTTCTTATGGTAGAAACTGTTGTTGGAAGAAAGTTAGCACCCATCCCCCTCGTAGAAAAATGAAATATTTTGAAAATATTTTAAAAATATTTTAAAAAGGCAGAATATATTTCCCTAAAAGAGAAATAAAAAATCTTAAGAGAGACAGAAACTCAGAGCCCCAGCTCCCTCTCCCCAGCAGATATTTTGCACCCATTGAGAAAGATTGGGCTAGCCTATCTACAAAACGAAAGACCTTCAGCTCCAGGGTGAAGGGATTAAGACATGACCCTTCAGGACATAATAGGATTAAACCACTAAAACACAGAGCTCGCTACATTGCACAATCTCCTAAGGACATTGCATCAGAGTCTAAACTTCAACCAAACCTGAAGAGCCCAGACAACCTACAGAGCCAGCTATGATCCCTACATGGCCCCAATGGGAGTCTGACAACAGCCAATAGAATACACGTTCTTGCCCAGCAACAGGAAGCTCAAAGCCCAAGAGAAGGTATAAAAAAAACCCACACTCTCAACTCCATGTGATCAACTGCCCAGAACCCAGGACTGCTGGTGGTTCTGCTTCATCATTAAACCCTCTTTCCAAGCGGCCTTCAGCTTCCATTTTGTCTCCAGTGTCTTTCTCCCTGCTTGGAACTGAACCAGATGGATATTTCTTCCAGCACTATTCAACAATGGAAAAGATTGTCATGGTAGAGTCACCTGTGATGGATATCTTTCAACAGTGATTGGATGGCCCATCTGTCAGGGATTCCCGAGAAGTTAATGACCGATTAGATGCTTGCCAATATCACTTCCATTCTTTCCATTCAATACATAATTGTTATAGGGCTAATTTGTTAACAGCTGTGAGAGCTAACGGCTGCGGTAAGAACTGTGTATATAGCCCTTTTACATCCCATTCTTCCATTGTGTAGAGCTGACACAACAACGGGAAGGTTGCTTTAATGCTGCAACACACTTGGGTGTTCCAGAATGCTCACTGGGGCATATCCTTATCTTCAGTGGAGCCTGTACAGTCTGAAAATTGGGAAGTACCCATAGATATTCAATTAGTAATGTTGCACTATACCAGTAACTGACTGGTATTCAGCCAACATGCTTAACCACTTGTTTAGTGAGCCGCGGTGGCGCAGTGGTTAGAGTGCAGTACTGTAGGCAACTTCTGCTGACTGCCAGCTGCCTGCTATTTGGCAGATCAAATCTCACTAGGCTCAAAGTTGACTCGGCCTTCCATCCTTCCGAGGTGGGTAAAATGAGGACCCGGATTGTTGTTGGGGCAATAGGCTGACTCTGTAAACTGCTTAGAGAGCAGTGGTGGGTTCCTCCCGGTTCGGCCTGGTTCTCCCAAGCCGGTAACGGTGATGATATGACATCACTGAACCGGTTCTGCCCCCCGCCCCCCGCGAGGGGTCAGTGTCAGCTGGGGGACTGGGTGGTGAAGATGTAGGGTATTTGTCACAAGGCCACTAAGGAACCTCAAAACGAATTGCAACTTTAGAAGCTACAGAGTATTACATTTGGCTGATTCCATTGATAGTGTTGGTTGGAAAACAGAGCCATGTGATGCTCAATTGATTACATTCCTTAATCATTATATTTTCTTAATAGACCAGTCTTTAACCACATCCTCGGCCAGAAGCTGTGTAGCTTCTGCAAATCAATTGACCGGTTCCTTCCATTTCGATTTTGGAGACAAACGTACTTTGTCGTTTGATTCTGAGATTTGCAATGTAACAGACGGAAACTGCCCCTGGGGCCTTCCAGGTATGTAAACAGCTTTTGAATCTTATTCTGCTTCTGGCACTTTTCCTATTGGGATGGTTGACATAAGAAATCTATGTACGGGAAAATTCCAAAGACATCTTTCTAATCTTTAACGCTTATATCAAGAACATCTCAAAAGGCGGCTACTAATTGTGAAAGGAGAGATAACTGGATAGTGTTTGAACGTTTGGAAGAGAATGCCCAAATATTTGACCAAATTATCTTTTAAGGTAGTTGCAAGGAGAGAAAGAAAAGGCTTGACCACCTGTAACAGACACTATGACTATAATTAAGTGTTGTACCTTATGATTCTTGATGAATGTATCTTCTCTTTTAATATACACTGAGAGCATATGTACCAAAGACAAATTCCTTGTGTGTCTAATCACACTTGGCCGATAAACAATTCTAATCTAATCTAATCTATCAGTAAAATTTGGAAAAAAAAATGTTTTTAAACCAGGAGTAGGCAAGATGGTTCCAGTTGTTTGATCTTTAATGTCCATTCACGGTCCATTTTTAGTTTCCCTTCAATACATTTACAACAACAACAACAAACCTCGTGTCAAATAAATATCATGAGCAAATTATCCCACATACAGTGGAATCTCGGGTCACAACCGCTTCTGACCACAACCAAATCGGGTGCCAACCAAAAAATCCGCTAAATGTTTCACTCGGGTCGCGAACACATCCTCGAGTGGTGGTCAAACACAGCCAAGGCGATTTTCCCTGCTGTGGCGATTTCCCCTTCCGCGCCATTTTTTTTGTACACGCATGCGTAGTCAGTCTTGCTTCCGGCCACGACCGAATCGGGTTGCGGCCCAAGTTCTGGAACGGATTAGAGTCATGACCAGAGGTTCCACTGTATGCTTTATATGGGATTTAAAAAAAAACCAAATTCTGCAATTTCTCATTTTGCAATTTTTATAAAAGACTTTTTATGGCTTTTAAGTTCTAGAACGGGTGTCTGTGGCTCCCTGACGGTGGGGGGAGGGCACAGTGGTTAAATGCAGTCTTGCAGGCTAACTCTGCCCAAAGCCTACTGATGGACTTGAGGTTGACTCAGCTTTCCATCCTTCCAAGGTCAATAAAATGAAGACTCAGATTGTTGGAGGCAATATGCTGACTTCATAAACTGCCCAGAGAGTGCTGTAAAGCACTTTGAAGTGGTATATATGTTTAAGTGCTAGTGGGCTTTTTAAGAATATCTTTTTATATCGGAAGAAGAACCAAAGATTTCCTCTTTGGGTCAGGGCAAAGCATGCCAGGAACATCCTGGAATTCCTTCTGGAATTGAAAGGCAGCAGAGCTCAAGGGACATCAGGACACCAGAAAGGCAAAATGGTTAGAAATCCAATTATTCTACTGTTTAGCAGATTCCCCAGGGGTAATAGAGTCAGTGAAAGGGAAAACAAGCTGTGTTGATAATTGCTTTAAATCAATTCTTTTGCTACATGAACTTGTTTTGTGACTTGCAGGAGATAGCATGCGCATATATGAAAACGGGAAATCTTGCCCAAAATGCTACAGAACAGGTTACGATAACTGTGAGAGCGATGGAGATGTATTTTGTGTGGGTGATTTTGTGAACTGTACTGAAGTGAATGGAGAAATATCCAATTTCCGATCTGGTAAGCTGTCTTTATTGTTCCTCTTTTATTTAAACTCCCTTTGCTCTTAGCTATCTTAAGCCAGCCAGTATCTTCAGGTTTTTTTTAAAAAAGTTTCAGAATGCTAAGAACATGCTACAGATGTGATGGCATGCAGCCTGCCAGGGACAAAGTTCCAATTTCAAAACAGCTAAAGGTCATAACCATTCACAAAACCTCAGTTGATTAGAATATACAGGTAATCCTTGACTTTAATTATTCATTTACCCTGTTTCCCCAGAAATAAGACATCCCCTGATAATAACCCCAATTGAGCTTTTGAGCGCATGCACTAAAATAAGCCCCCCTGAAAATAAGCCCTCCCTGAAAATATTTAAATGCATGTGCAGCCGGTCCCCCATTTCCTCTGGTTTCCTCCACCTCCCCAAAAATAAGGCCAAGAGCTTATTTCGAGGTTCAAAAAAATATAAGATAGGGACTTATTTTCGGGAAAACACGGTAGTGGCCATTCAAAGTTACAACAGCACTAAAAAGATAGACATTTTTTTTTACACCTCTTGAATTTCTGGGATTCAGATGTATGGATTGTAAAAATATATATGTATGAACCGACTCAACATTATGCAGTAGATTTGTACTCCAAATTTAAGTAAAACATATTGTCAGCACTTCAACCTGCATTTACTCTAGTGCTGACATAAGAAGGAGAAGAGGGGGCAGCTGGCAAGAGGACGCTTGACATTTCACCTACTTATTTTCCTTGAAGATAATATCCCCTAGGAGATGAGAGGGAGGGGGGACATTCCTGGGAGCTTAAGTAGTAGATATGGGGAGAGTGATTTGGAAGAAGGCCAATGAGACGCAGAGATTTGGGAAATGGAAAGGGAAGGTTTGGGGTCAGGAAGTCAGAATTGGCTACGCCACGATCGGGGGCAGATTGTCGTGCTTAATAAAATGAAAGATTTCTTCAAAGACTATCTGTTTGGAAATGCAATTTATTTTATTTGAGACGATATTGAAACCTGACACATACTTCATACAAACAAAATAATAGAGTTGGAAGGGACCTTCAAGGTCTCCTATTCCAACTCAGTATAGGAAACCCTGTACCCGTGATGGCGAACCTATGGCACGCGTGCCACAGGTGGCACGTGGAGCCATATCTGTGGGCATGCGAGCGTTGCTCTAGCTCAGCTCCAGTGTGCATGTGTGTGCCGGCCAGCTGATTTTCAGAACTGCCGGGCCTACCGGAAATCAGAAAATGGGCCATTTCCAGTCTCCGGAGGGCCTCCGGGGCGGGGTGGGGTGGGGAGAATGGGGAAGGCTACTTTCACCCTCCCCAGCCTCCAAGAAAGCCTCTGGAGCCTGGTGAGGGTGAAAAACAGACCTACTGGGCCCACCGGTAACCTTTTTGCCATCGTGTGCCAAAAGCAGGAGGAGCGCAGTGGGGGTCACGTGACCATATGCGATGGGGTGGGGCACAGGTGGAGCATTGAATTATGGGTGTGGGCATGCACACCCACGACCCCCCTGTGCTTCCCCTGCTTTTGGCACCTGACAGCAAAAAGGTTAGCCATCACTACCCTATACCATTTCAGACAATAGTTGTCCAATCTCTTCTTAAAAACTTCCAGTGTTGGAGCATTCACAACTTCTGGAGGCAAGTTGTTCCACTGATAAATTGTTCTCCCTCTCAGGAAATTCCTCCTTAGTTCTAGATTGCTTCTCTCCATGATTAGTTTCCACCTGTTGCTTCTTGTCCTGCCTTCAGGTGCTTTGGAGAACAGCTTGACTCTCTCTTCTTTGGGGCAGCCCCTGAGATACTGGAACACTGCTATCATGTCACTCCTGGTCCTTCTTTTGATTAAACTAGACATACCCACTTCCTGAAACTGCTCTTCATATATTTTAATCTCCAGTCCCCTAATCATCTTATCTGCACTCTTTCCAGACTCTCAACATCTTTCATTGAGATACTAATAACCACTTCAGTGTAAATCTTTTTTTAAAACAAGGGTGGGAGGAATTCAAAAAAGGCCACCCTAATTTAAACTTTATCATCGTCATTCACCAGAAATGGAACACGCAACTCACCTGATCACCTGATTTGCTTCCCAACAGTATTTCTATCTGGGATTGCGGCCACCACTTCATTTCTCGGCTCCACGTCCATCGGTGCCCCTTCCCTTAGTTTAGAAACCGTTCATACATTTGATGAGAGGAAAATGTAGAAATACCTTGAAGAAGCCCATAAAATAAATCACTGTTTCCTTCTGCCTTAGGTACAAAAATCCCTTTTGCTGGAAAAGGTTGTGTCAGCCAATCGGTTTGCAGCCTTCAAGGGAAGTCGTTCCAGCATGGGAGTTACAAGTTCACATTTAAAAAAGTTCAGTGTTCTAAAGCCAACGGGGCTCTTTCATCGTTGCGACGCCTGGCTTTCACTCTGGAGAAGAAGGACCTCGGGCCACAGGCGGCCTTCTTCTTTCCATGCATCCTTGGGATCTTCGCTGTGAAAATTCTCTCCTAGTTAAGTCAAAGGTAGCTGGCAAAGGCCTTAAGAAAGGTTAGGTTGGGGTCAATCTCCCTCCCTTTAAGCACTGATGATGTTACCAACTTCGGTACTGAAATGTCTACATGAAAACTACCAGGCTCACAGAACACCAAGGAGCCCACAACTAAAACTTACGCTGCAAAAATCTTATACCTCTCTGTTGCTGCTCTTAATGTCCTTCTCAAAGTTGCCATCTATATGTTTTTTTAACGGGAGAAATTATGGACTAAATTGGAATTATTAATTGCCATCCGTGTAAATTTTCATCCCCTTATTATGGAATGAATGTGGTTTAAAAGCCCCGCCCCTGCAAATGTTGAGCCCCATCTCCTGAAATGAGGTCGAGAATCCCACCCAAAGGCTAATTTCAACTTCAGACCCCCCCAAATTTGCTGAACTCCAGCATATTTTCCTTGAAGAGTTTGGGGGCATTCGGCCACCGATTTTGCTTGGAGCAGAATCAATTTGGTGACTAGAGCAACAGGCGTTCACGATATGATTTCGTATTTCAAAGCAATTGATCCACCGAAAAACAATTTACCTCAAAATACAGTGTTCTCACACCTGAATTTCCATCAATCAATTTAGGTATATCTATAGATATACATATCCACCTTATCAGGATTTGGGTGACATATTTATATAACGCGATGCTTTAATGGTTATTCTTAAATGTTGCAATTGTTGTCGAAATAGACCAATATCCTTTGGTCGGTATGAGACCACTTTTTGCAGACATTTCCTTTCTCTGGAAAAACAGCGTCAGCGTTTTTCTACCTTTCCAAAATTGGAGTTCTCGCTGATTTGTCGCAATATTAAAATAAAAAGAATTTAGAGATTAGCTCTCCAGTCTTAGGAGTGTTTCTTTACTCATAAAACTTCCCATTCATTTCCTTTCGTACCCTTCTTCTTTGGGAAAGTCTGAGAAGGCTGCATGTCATGCCAAGGTAAAGCCATAGTTTATTTAAATGTTGGTTTGTTGCGCGAGTGTCGCGTAACGGGGTTCAATGCAAGTAGGAAAATAGGGACCACCTTTGGTGGGAAGGTAACAGTGTTCTGTGTGCCTTTGGCATTTAGTCATGCTGGCCACATGACCATGGAGACGTCTTCGGTCAGCGCTGGTTCTTCAGCTTTGAAACAGAGATGAGCACCGCCCCCTAGAGTCAGGAAGGACTAGCACATATGTGCGAGGGGAACCTTTACCTTTACCTTAATCATGTTAATCTTGGCTGGGGAAAAGTCCTAATACTATAGGCAGCATTGGAAGAGAAAGGAATAGTCAAGGGATCATCTATATCTTCAGCTCTAAAGCATCCTCTATCTTAGAAATTGGGAGATGGTGAGTTCCAGTCCCACCTTAGCTGTAAAGCCAGATTAGTGGCTATGGGCCAATCACCAGGTGTCCATGAGTTCTAGTCCTGTCTTAGGCATGAAAGCTGGATGGGTGACTTTGGGAAGTCCCTCTCGCTCAACCTAACCCACCTCATACAGTTGTTGTAGGAAAACTAGGAGGAGGAAGGAATATTATGTATGTTTGCTGCCTTGAGTTCTTTATAAAAATAATGAAGGCAGGATAGAAAAATCAATTAATTAATAATCTCTGCTTTTTTCCACATATCCCTCCTAAATGTTATCCAGATATGGAAGGTATAGCTGGTGAAGGTTAAGAAGGTGATAGCAACTTGTGAATTTTCCTTCCTTCCTTCCTTCCTTCCTTCCTTCCTTCCTTCCTTCCTTCTTTCCTTCCTTCCTTCCTTCCTCCCTTCCTTCCCTCCCTCCCTCCCTCCTTTCCTCCCTCCCTTCCTTCTTTCCCTCCCTCCCTCCCTCCCCTCCCTTCCTTCCTTCTTTCCTTCCCTCCCTCCCTCCTTCCTTCCCTCCCTCCCCTTCCTTCCTTCCTTCCTTCCTTCCTTCCTTCCTTCCTTCCTTCCTTCCTTCCTTCCTTCCCTCCCTCCCTCCCTCCCTCCCTCCCTCCCTTCCTTCTTTCCCTCCCTCCCCTCCCTCCCCTTCCTTCCTTCCTTCCCCTCCCCTCCCCCTCTCTCCCCCCCTTTTCATCTCCCCTGGCAAAAAAATAATAAAATAAATCTAAAGACTAAACAGCCTCTTACAGGAGCTGAGCTGGATGGATGGTGATGTCATGGACACATCCATAAAGTTATTTGGCAACCATTTTATGTGTGATGGTTTTTAATTAGTTTCATTAATGCAACCTATCTTGAAATGACATCAATTGCAATCCATTTGTTCACCTAGTTAGAGGGCTTTGACTAAGAACAATTTCAAAGTCTGCTCAGTGGACTTTCTAGGATGCCAGAAATCAGAAGATTTATCCATCTGGAGTAGCAGATTTTAGGATGGGTAGATTACATAAATGCCTGAAGTGAAAAGTTGATGGTAACATGAATTTTCCTGTCCTTTGTGATCACAAAAAGCAATAAGGAAACACAAGTGTGGTATGAAAGTACATTGACCTGCTGATTTATTGTGGGCACACCCTCCTTTGAAAATTGAGGAAGGCTAAGTTATTGCCTTACAAAATCCACCGAATGAAATTCCTTGAGATGGAACCCGGGATAATTAAATATTTCTAGGGAGACCTAGTACCACCAGTACGCTGATGATACCCAGCTGTACATCTCCACCCCAGACCACCCCAACGATGCCCTTGAAGTGATGTCCCAGCGCAAGCTGCATTGGCTCCTGGTGGTCTTCCGGGTGCGCTTCAAGGTTTTGGTTACCACCTTTAGAGCGCTCCATGGCTTAGGACCTGGTTATTTACAGGACCGCCCACTACCACAAACAGCCTCCCACCGGCCGGTATGCTCTCATAGAGAGGGGCTCCTCCGGGTGTCATCAGCCAAGCAGTGTCAACTGGCGGCCCCCAGGGGGAGGGCCTTCTCTGTGGGGGCACCCACTATCTGGAACGAGCTCCCCCTGGAGATACGGAGGATCCCAGATCTGCGCACTTTCCGCTGTGCTCTTAAGACCCTCCTATTCCAGCAAGCTGGCCTGGCCTAATTTTCTCCCCTTCCTTTAAATTTTTAAATTGGAATTTTAATTTGTTTTAAATTATTGGGATTTTTAATTGTCTTGGACTAAATTATTTAATTTGGTTTTAATTATGTTTTTAACTTTTGTATTTATGTATTTTATTTTGTGCCTGTTCACCGCCCTGAGTCCTTCGGGAGTAGGGCGGTATATAAATTTAATAAAACAATAAAACAAACAAAACAACCTATCAAGTTGAGTAACAGGGCTGAGAGGCTGTACTCAAATGTATTTTCTAGAGCAGTGGTTCTCAACCTTCCTAATGCCGCGACCCTTTAAAACAGTTCCTCATGTTGTGGTGACCCCCAACCATAAAATTATTCCTAAAACCTGTCAGGTGTGCTTCCTTCAAAGTCCAGGAAAGAATGAGCCAAACTCCATTATTATAGAGTAATGTACTTTTACTGGAAAATGAAATGAACGCTACCAAGGAAAAGCTGAAACTAAAGCAATAGGCGCGAAAGTTGCATATAGAAAGCATCCCCTCCCACTGTCCATCATCAATCACCCAATCCAAAGGTCTCCCAGAGGTCAGGTGGAAGCACGTCTGGCATCGTCATCAATCAGGAACACAATGACGGTTGACCCGATAGCCACTTCGGAGATTAGGTTTCGTTTCTTCAAAATCCTCCAGCACACTCCCCCCCCCACAGTCTCTAATTCTCTCCCACCCATTTCTTATGGCAGCCAAAGCAGTAAAGTTGGAGGCTGACAAAATCATTGAAAATATGTGTTTTCCGATGGTCTTAGACGACCCCTGTGAAAGGGTCATTCAACCCCAAAAGGGGTCGCGACCCACAGGTTGAGAACCACTGTTCTAGAGGTTATCTCTTTCAGGTGACGTATTTTACTATACCAGCTGTAGATCCTTTCATTCTTATGGTGGCTGGGGAATGCTGGGAGTTGAAGTCCACTCATATTAAAGTGTCCAAGGTTGAGAAACACTGCAATCGTTAAGTTAATAACCCCGGTTGTTAAGTGAATCCAACTTCCCCATTGTCTTTGCTTGTCAGAAGATCACAAAAGGGGATCACAAGACCCTGGGACACTGCAACCGTCATAAATATGACTCAGCTGCCAAGTATCTGAATTTTGTTCATGAAGCATCATGAGGATGCTTCAAGGGTCGTAAGTGTGAAAAAGGGTCATAGGTCACTTTTTTTCCAGTGCCGTTGTAAATTCAAACAGTCACTAAACAATCTGCCAAGGACTACCTGTAATTTCGATGGATCCGTGACCAATAACAATAAAATAAAAAAAGTCAATCCAGAAAGCCAAGAGTTACAATAATTTCAACGAAAACATGGTCACCAATAAAAAGGAATACCCAAATGAAATGATGAATACAGCATGGAATTATCCCATAGCCAGTTGTCCTGTGGCGAGTTATCCTAGAGCCACAGTAGATAAACCAGAGGATTTTTTTTGGTTAGCTGATTGGGTCAAATTCCCAGAGAATGCAATGGACATTGTCATAAAATGGCTGCCATGTGGAAGTTCACTCATTATTAAGATGGCTGCCACCCTGGAATTGATCAGCCACTAGTGGAACCTTTAAAAATGATTTAAGTCCCTCAGGAGCATTTTTTCGCAACCGATGGGAATTAGAAAAAAGTACCTCCTTCATCTATAAATACATTTCTTTCACCTCTAAGCAAGAAGTCTGTCAGAGCTGGAAGCCATCTTTGAGCCTACTATGTGAAAATGGGACGGGGGATTGTATGGAGTGTAGATGATATGTAGTCAAAATAACATTCTTTCCAGAGAGTCAAGGCCGCTTTGCCCTGCAGCTGTGCTGAGAAGAATGAGGAGGTATCTTCTGTTCTGGAGGGTACCTGATTGGTTCGTGTGATGGACATGTGGGTGAAGGGCAAGGACTTGAACTTTCTTTTGAGTGAGGAAAACTCAGAAACTCTCAGATTCGGGTTTTCCCAGATGTGCCAATATGACATCTCTAATAAAAATTAGCTTTGAGGAAGCTCAAGCCTTGGAGTTTGATTTCATTGGGTGTGTTACTTGGAACCCTGACAAAGTCTGAATAAAATAATCCTAACAGGCTAGACACTACATGACCGCTTAAAATGCCTCTCTTTCTTTCATTTTTAAAAATGTTACGGTGTTCTCCTGAGACCAGGAAAAAGGCATTATTACAGCAATATCCCCAGCTACTTTGGGTCAGGAATGTTTTAATATTGTTTGAAAACTCACTTCGTTGCCGTAGGTTTTAGTTTCTTGCATTTTCTTACTGCATTTTTTTAAAATTAGGCTAGCCATTCACAGCTGAGATGAGTAAATAAATCATAAATACATGAGCAATCCTAGTTGACTCCAAATCGTGTTTTTTTTCTATACACAATCTGGAAAAGAATTTGGATAATGCAGGATTAAGGTTTAGCATGTTGTATGAATCCATCCATTCTGCTTTTATGTTTTAACATAATAAATTCTCTAAACAAACGAACACATGCATTTATCAACCTGCACAATGAGATCACTTAAACTAGTGGCTTAATCTACAAAGCATGTTTTTAAAAACAATTTTATTAAACTTATCAAAGTATAAAATACAAATAAAAATAGTGGGAGGGAAAAAGGGAAAGAGAGAGAGAGAGAAAGAAAAAGAAAGAAAGAAAGAAAGAAAGAAAGACAGACAAGCATTGACTTCCAACTCTGTAGCACAGTACTATAACCTATCATTACAGCCTCAACTTTTTTACTTTTAAATATTTAATATGTACTAGCCATTTCTATAACAACAAACCTATCAAATCAGCAAATCTCAAAGT